ACAGTGTTTAACAACAGGGTTAATTGTGGTAAAAATATTGATACCCTATTTGATGATCAAGGTACCTCCCTCCAGAACGAATATACGTTAAGCTTTGATAAAAAAAAGAGTCAACATGATTTAGAAAAATTATTGAATAGGGAGATAAAAATAAAATGGGAAGTTGCCACAATGAAGAAATACTTACGGGAAAAGATTATCCCTAGGGGACTAAGGTTCACAAAGAACCCTTCATTTGATCAGGATGAACAAGAATTTGTTCAGGAATGGCTGGACATGCTGGAGAATTTTTCATTTGGTCTTATGGGTTTAATAGTAAAAAGGAGAGATAATACTCTACAAAAATAGACAACCAAATTAACGACCTTCAGAGATCTTTGGAAACAAATATGAGCTCAGATGAGTATTCACAAATGACGAATTATCTTGAAAACAACTTAAATAGAACTGAGAAAAATGTAATAGCCGTTAAAAGGAGGAAATACCTTCGTGATAAAAATGATTATGCGAGGGACCAAGTTAGGTCGTATTCCAAAAGAAATCAGGAAGAACATCATACTTATTATAGACCCTTTAGACAAATAGAGAGATATGAATCTAGAATAGACAACAGGGAACAGCCTCAGATCCAATTTCAACAGAAATTCATTCCAACAATTCAACAACATAAACCATCTGGTAGACCTAAACCACTGATTACTCCAGAAAAAGTGGTCAGAAGGAAGGAACACAATTATGAGTTAAGGCCAAGATTAAACTCACGCAAGGTAGATCATAGAGAACATGTGTCCTATGAAAGAACTAGACCCATTCCAAAAAAACGAGGATTGATACCCCTTGAAAATAGGTATGAAGTTTTAAATAAATCACCTAGGGAGGAGGTTTTTTGGCGCGCCCACAAAAAAGATCGACACAAGGAGTTGGACAATCAGAGGGGAACACCGGGAAAAAGAAGGAGGAGCATAGAAGAAGGGGAGGTAGAGGAGGAGTTCACATACAGAAAAGAGCTAAGGGACAGGAATCGACATCAAATAACCACGGCATCTTTAATTTAACAGACCAACTTTTGACTGTGGCCCAGTCTAAACTTTTAGCGAAAGGCTTAAATTTTGCTCCAACAAAACCCTTTAATAAATGTGATACTTACATAGACCTCCAAAAATTTAAGAGAAAACTTTGTTTAAAGAAGTTTTTTTCCAAATCCCCGATTACTAGAATAGAAACCAACATTGAATATAGTGAGATCATTCATACAGACCTCAAGGAGGCTTCCTCATTTTTTCCGAATTACTTAGTGTCAGAGGAAATGATTGCCTTTGAAAAAATGGTAATTCGAGATATGAATAAGATAAAAAAAACCAATAAATACGAACAAAATTTGGGGAATGATGAAATAAAGGCATTAAAAGAATTAAAAAAGGATAACACTATAGTCATCAAACCTGCTGATAAGGGGGGTGGTATAGTGGTAATGAAAACCACAAATTATGTTGAGGAATCCTTAAGATTATTGAGTGATGGGAAGACATACATGAGATTAACTAAAGACCCAACTAAGGAATTTAAAGAGACATACATGAAGTTATTAGATAAGGGAAAAACAATGGGTATTTTAAACGAAAAAGAATTTAAATTTCTAGACATCTTACATCCAAAAATTCCAGTGTTTTATCAACTTCCCAAGATACATAAAAATAAGGAAAATCCCCCTGGTCGGCCAATTATTTCTGGAATAGAATCTATTTCCAGCCGTTTGTCACAATACATCGACAAATGTTTGCAACCAGCAGTACAAAGAAGTCCCAGCCATCTAAAGGACACATTAAGTGTCTTACAAATTTTACAAAATCAAAAATGGGAAGACAACTATTATTTAGTGACGGCTGATGTGAGTTCCTTGTACACAATCATTACACATGAGAAAGGATGTACTGCCACAAAATATTTTTTGGAACTATATAGAGATTTTCCTCAAACTCAGATAGACTTCATTATTGAAGGTATAATTTGGATACTTAATCACAACTATTTTTGGTTTGGAGAAGAGTTTTATATTCAGCAATGTGGGACGGCGATGGGCACCAGGTTTGCTCCCAGTTATGCTAATTTATTTATGTCCCATTGGGAGTCCCAATACATATATGGGAGTCATGACTGGGGGCAGAACCTGGTGCTATATCGCCGTTACATAGATGATATTCTTTTTATCTGGAAGGGAGACGAGATCTCCCTACAAAACTTCTTGATGCATTTGAACACAAACGATTGGGGCATTTCATTAACAAGTGAGTATAGTAAATCTACAATTAATTTTTTGGACTTAAATATATTCATTGAACATGGCCAGATAAAATCAAAAACCTTTTTCAAAAAAGTAGACGTTAACAGTTACATAGAACGGAAAAGTTGCCATTTTTCACCTTGGTTGCAAAATGCACCGAAGGCCCAACTACTACGAGTAAAACGTAACTGTTCAGAAACCCATACATTTGAAACCCAATCAGAAATAATTTTAAAGAATTTTAAAGACAAGGGGTATCAGGAAGACCTTCTAAAAAAGGCGTTTGAGGAAGTACAGAAAACAGATAGATTAAGTTTACTTAAATATAAATCACCTATTGAATCAAGGGATACTAATCAAGTATCATTGATATGTGACTTTAATTCAAAAAGCCATACTTTTAAGAAAATTGTAAATAAATATTGGCCAATCTTAAAGGAAGACCCTCAACTAAACACAATTCTATTAGATCGCCCTAAAATCATTTATAGGGGGGTAAAAAATTTGAGAGACAATCTGGTGCAAAACCATATTAAAAGCAATCAATCTATACAAAATCCATTTAATGAATCCTCAGGATTTTATGGATGTGGCATATGTGGTGCCTGTAAAAATACGGGGAACAAAAAAAGAGTAATTAGGAAATTTATAAACCCTCAGTGCGTTCAAGAAACCCATAATATTAGGGACTTAATTACATGCCATTCGAAAAGAGTTATATATCTGATAATATGTACTTGTAATCTAGGGTATGTAGGTAGGACTGCAAGGCCTCTTCAGGTTCGTATTCAAGAACATATAAGAAATATTAAAAAGGGCTTTGAAAAACACAGCTTGTCCCTACATTTTAAACTAAAACATAATCAAGACCCTACAGAGTTACAATTCATTGGTATTCAATTAGTTAAACCTAATTGGAGAGGAGACAATTTGATAAAAAAAATGGGTCAAATAGAAATGAAATGGATTTTCAATTTAAACACATTGACCCCAGGAGGTCTTAACAATGACTTTGAGATATGCCATTTCATTTAAACCATTTCATTTGTCTTCCTCTGGAGGAGAACTGATCATTATATATGGTACACCGTATAGAGCATGTTTATATGTAAATGAGAATGTCAATAACATGTGGAAATTAAGTAGTTATTCCCTTTTAATTTTAATTTTGGCAATTTCTCTGCTATATATATTTTACTGTCTCTTTAAATTTAGAACAAAACAAGAAGATTAGTGTAGGAATGGCTAAGTTTCTACATGCTGACATTCTCATATAGAAAGTATATGTGATACCATGCACTATATATTTATACGTGTTTATCTTTTTCTTCCCCCCTTTTTCTTCCCCCCTTTTTTTCTATTATTGCCCTTTGTCTACTGAGGATGGAGGCTTCCTCCCTTCCTCTTTGAGGAAGTGTGGGCAAAGACATAATGTACCGCATTTGCCAGGACTTTGTTTGTTCCGAAAGTGACGAGCGGATTTATTCCGCCGCGTCACTTCCGGTTTTCTATTTAGGGTGATTACAAATAAGGAAAATGGCCGCGGCGAACACGGAAGTGACGCGGGGTATGACACCGCGCCACTCCGATTGCCTGAACGGACTTCAGGTGAGGTGCTCCACATCATCAAGAAGAAGCCATCTGATTGGATCACGGAAGTGAAGACCCGCCTACCGGAAGAAAAATACCGGCAAATTTAAACAGCAAGAGTTTGGACACAGTGAACCCGATTGAGAAAGCCCACATAGCGTGGGTGAAACGCGTCTCGGAGCTGAAGCCAGATTTGGGATTTTACAGCTACTTTTTGCATAAGTATTTTACTTTGTTTTTATATTTACAATAAATTTGTTATTTTTTATACATATCCCTATTGGCCTTTGGTCCTATCTTGCTGTAAAAGAAGGGTAAGTGCCCCCTTTTAAAGGCACTCAAGTCTACCATCTAGAGCCAGGTTCTCATTGGCTCTGAATCAGGTGAGCACTATCATAATCACTGTCTGTGTACTACCTATTATATACATAGTACACTAGGAGGTCTTCCTCCCTTGTTTTTTCTCTTTTTTCTTTGAGGAAATTTACTCCAGTTAAAGGGTGCAGTGTCTCCATACGATACTAATGCTGAAGAGATTTGAGCCTGTCCTTTTATGAGGCTCTAATCCATGTGAGTTTGACTATTGATATATTATCACAAGATTCCTTCTACTCACGGATTTACACTATATTGTGTTGTATTTCTCTGTTTTATTTGCATGTACATATATACATCTGAAATTGAACCCTAATTAAGGGTAAGTGTGATTGTTCAGCGCTCCACTCACTTGACTAGTACGGTCTGGATTTTTATCCAGTCCATACTGGACTCACTGTGTTTTAATGTAACTAATTGCTATGTGTGTGGAGGTACTAATATGGGAGACCAGTGGCCATGGGAGGCAAAGGAAATATGGTACCCTGGCTCTGAGACATATGAACAACAGATACCTTTTCAGTCTGATCATCAAGTACTAGAAGTAAATCGGAATGGCGGTTAAAAACCTCCATTATAGGTCATGTTTGTATAGCCAGGAAAGGGACAATGTATAACACGTCTGTAGGTGAGCTAACTTGCTTGGGACAAAAAGCCTATAATGTTAATACTAAAAATACTACTTGGTGGTCAGCTTCAAATGTCTCGGAGCCTACTAATCCGTTTGCCAATTACACTCATTTAAAGGAGGTATGGTTTGACTTATCTGCTACATCTAGTTGGAAAGCCCCAGCAAATTTATACTGGATCTGTGGTAGGAAAGCTTATTCGGAGTTACCACAAGATTGGGAAGGGGCATGTGTATTAGGTATGCTCAAGCCATCCTTCTTCTTGTTGCCAATTGAGACAGGAGAGACCTTGGGAGTTAAGGTTTACGATGCAAATCATAAAAGGAAGAGAGCATCCTTGAATATAGGTAGTTGGGAAGATGAGGAGTGGCCCCCTCAACGTATTATTAATTATTATGGACCTGCTACTTGGGCAGAAGATGGCACTTATGGATATAGAACTCCGATATATATATGCTCAACCGCATTATTAGACTACAGGCAGTGGTTGAGATTATTACTAATGAGACAGCTCAAGCGCTTAATCTTCTAGCTAAGCAAAATACCAGGATAAGATCAGCCATCTAATGTCTGTAAGAATGTCTAGGAATTCAAAGTGATTTAAAAAATAATTCCAAAATGTATTCCAAAATAGTTGAAGTAGTCAAATTCTCCAAGTCAATTCAATGTTAATTTGGGCTATTTTTGCTTTCCATTTAAAATTTACTTTGACTTTTCAGCAAATGTCCTTTTATCGAAAAAGTCTGTAAGGGTTGTTTACTAAAGTGAGATTTTAAAGTGAATTTCATATTTAAGGCCACAGTAAATAAACTGAAAGCATAGCTGTCTTTTTCAAGTTCAGTTTATTTAACTTTAAATTGGAAACTAATTTGAATTCTCCCTTTAGTAAATAACAATGTGTATATGGTGTTTTACTTAACAGGTATTTAACCCCTTAAGGACCGGCCTGTTTTTGCGATGTTGTACGTTAAGGACCAGAGCAGTTTTGACACTTTTGTGGTGTTTAGCTGTAATTTTCTTCTCTCTCATTTACGGTTCCCATACAAATTATATATTGTTTTTTTCAGGACAAGAAGGGCTTTCTTTACATACCATTATTTGTATCATGTCATATATTTTATTTAAAAAAAATAAAATAAAATATGGTGAAAAATTGGAAAAAAAAAACATGTTTTTGGACTTTTACTTGAAAAATCTTTTACTTATCTACAAAAGTTAATGAAAAAAACTGCTAAATAGATTAAAAATTTGTCCCGAGTTTAAAAACACCCAGTGTTTACATGCTTTATTGCTTTTTTTTTGGCGTTATAGGCCTATAAATACAAGTAGGAAATTGCTGTTTCAATATTTATATATTTTAAATTTATCATTAGTGACATTGTAACACCGTTATCTGTCATAAATCCCTGAATCACACCTCACATGTGCCTATTTTTTTAAAGTAGACAACCCAGGGTATTCAAAATGGGGTATGTCCAGTCTTTTTTAGTAGCCACCTAGTCACAAAAACTGGCCAAAGTTAGCATTTATATTTGTTTGTGTGTTAAAAATGCAAAAAACGCTAACTTTGGCCAGTGTTTGTGACTAAGTGGCTACTAAAAAAGGCTGAACATACCCCATTTGCAATACCTTGGGTTGTCTTCTTTTGCAAATGGTATGCCATCATGGGGCTAATTCTCATTCCTGGGCTACCATACGCAGGGCCGGCGCTACCTGTTAGGAGCGCCGGCCCCTCTAATGCTGCAGCCGCCCGAGCGCTCTGTAGAGAACCTCAGGCGGCTGCAGCTTTGCCCGCCTGGGCGCAGCCTGAGTTGAGCGGCTGACAGGAGGGAAACGCTCAGCGCTCCCTCCTGTCACTCCCTCACTGTAGCGTGGCCGAGCCCTCTATGGTCCGCGGGTACAGGGAGCATCTGTCTCCTGTACCCGGCCGGACTAACAAGAAGTGCACACTGAGTGGTGCACACTGAGTGTGCACTTCCTTTTAGTCCTCCCTGTACCCGCGGACCATGATACAGAGCTCGGCCACGCTAGAACAGAGGTAGGGGAGGGTGGGTGTGGGAAATTGACAGGGAAGGGGGGGAATAAATTGACAGGGAGGGTGGGGAATAAATTGAAGGGGGGTAATAAATTTTAATGGAGGTGGGGAATAAATTGAAGGGGGTATAAATTCAAATGGGGGGGAATAAATTGAAAGGGGGTGGGGAATAAATTGAAAGGGGGGAATAAATTGACAGGGAGGGTGGGGGGAATAAATTGACAGGGAGGGGAAAGAAATTGACAGGGTGTGGGGGGGGGGAAATTGACAGGGAGGGGAATTGACGGAGGAGGGAGGGGGAATCCTCATCTGGTTGTAAGTAGGCAATCTAGTATATTATTCGTGGCACTAATCTCTAATTTACCTCACATTAAAGAAACACTATAGTCCCCAGAACCACTCCAGCTTAATGTAGTGGTTCTGGTGTCTATAGCCTGTCCCTGCAGGCCTTTTAATGTAAACACGGCGGCACTGCAGCACTGGCATTAGTTAACATGGCAGATCATATGGGTGGGGCATTGTGATGTCACATGGGGGGGCGGCAAACTTTACTTTTGCCTAGGGCGGCAAAAATCCTTGCACTGGCCCAGACCATACGCTCTAACAAATTTCAATAAAAAAATAAAAAGTAAAATCAAGCCTTATATTTGACCCTGTAACTTTCACAAACACTATAAAACCTCTACATGCGGGGTACTGTTATTCTCAGGAGACTTCGCTGAACACAAATATTAGTGTATCAGAACAGTAAAATGTATCACAGAAATAATATCATCAGTGAAAGTGCAGTTTGTGTGTGGAAAAATGCAAAAAATGTCACTTTCACTGACAATATCATCGCTGTGATATGTTTTACTGTTTTGAAACACTAATATTTGTGTTCAGCGAAGTCTCCCAAGTAAAACAGTTCCCCCCATGTACAGGTTTTAGGGTTTTAGGGTTAAACACAGTGCTAGCAAATTCAGTTCTCTGGACTTTCGGCCTGGGCTGGCAGGCAGGTCCCTCAAATTGCAATCATTAAAATTACTTAATTAGGTAAAAATATTACATAAATACACACGTAGAATTTTAATATATATACATATTTATATATTTGACGTCTACGTGTATATTTATGAAATTATTTATGTAATTATGTATATGGACATATGTATATTTCGTATTATTTTTATTTATTTATTTATACATAGATATATATATCATTACATTCTAAGTGTATTTTGATATAAATATATATATTAATATCAAAATACTGTTAGAATAAAATTACAAAAAGCTGGGACATCCATGGGGGCGGCAATGGCACATTTGTATATGTACCAATTTGAGAAGGAATACACCTTCAAAAAATATTCGGGGAATATCTTGAAATACTTTCGGTACATAGATGACATACTGATTTTGTGGAAGGGAACCACCGATGAAGCATTAAAACTAGTTGAAGACATTAACGGGTCAGAAACGCCTATTCGTGTGACATCGCATATTGATAGTCATAAGATACAGTTTTTGGATCTGGAAATTTTATTGGAACAAGGAAAAATTGAATATCAACTGTATACTAAACCAACGGACCGGAACACCCTTCTCCATTATGAGAGTGCGCATCCTAAACATGTTAAGGATTCCTTGCCCCTGTCACAGTTCTTAAGAGTTATAAGAAACAATTCTGGTATTACCCGATGCGAAGAACAAATACAGGAAATGTACAATAAATTTGCACAAAGAGGGTATACACGTAAAATACTTGACAAAGCACTTGGAAAAGCTAGGAAACACATGGCTGCAGGAGCGATACAGCCTCGGAACAATAAGGCAAGAATTCCTTTTCCAATGACATATAATACGTCCACCACTAGAATTTGCCAAGTAATCACTAAAAATTGGCACATTATGCAAAACGATAACAGCCTTCCAGAAAGTTTCCGTAATAAACCGTTGTTTTCTTATAAAAACAATAAAAGTCTAAGGGACCTTTTAGTCCAGACAGATCTGGTTCAAAGTTATATGCCGGTGAATAAGAATACAAGCAATAACGGTTGTATAAAATGCTTAGGTTGCGTGACCTGTGGTCACCTAATTCCACCTCATGTGGTCACCTCATTTCATTCCATTAAAAGTTTTAATCATCCACACACAGGACAATCATTTAAAATTCAACACAGGATTAACTGCCGTACTGACTTTGTGATCTATAAATTGTCTTGCCCGTGTGGCAGGACCGGACTAGGGATACGAAGCAGCCCTGGAAAAAAATCTATGCCAGCCCCATAAGTCATTGTGCTATGTAGGGTGTTATATATTAAAGGACCACTATAGTGCCCTGAGGGTGCCCCCACCCTCAGGGTCCCCCTCCCGCCCGGCTCTGGAAGGGGGAAAGGGGTAAAAACTTACCTTTTTCCAGTGCTGGGCGGGGAGCTCTCCTCCTCCGATCCTCCTTCTCTCCTCCCCGTCGGCGCGTATTCAGCCGGTCACATAGCAAAGCATTATCAATGCTTTCCTATGGACGCTGGCGTGCTCTCACTGTAGCGCCTCTAGTGGCTGTCAATGAGACAGCCACTAGAGGAAATAGGGGAAGGCTTAACCCATTCATAAACATAGCACTCTGAAACTGCTATGTTTATGAAAAAATTGGTTAACCCTAGCTGGACCTTACTGATGCACACAAATAGGCTCATTGACAGACAATCTCAATGACACACACAGACAAGGTTACTGGCAGACACACAAATTTAGTACAGACAAACTGATACACACACAAGCTTACTACAGACAAGCTCACTGTCACACACACACGCTCACTACAGACAAGCTCACTGATGCGCACACACTCTCCCTACAGACAAGCCCATTGACACACACATGCTCCCTACAGAAGAGCTCACTAACACAGATTCACTACAGACAAGCTCACTGACACACATATGCTCACTACAGACAAGCTCACTGACACACACGCTCACTACAGACAAGCTCACTGACACATATGGTCACTACAGACAAGCTCAATGACACACACACTCACTACAGACAAGCTCACTGACACATATGGTCACTACAGACAAGCTCACTGACACACACGTTCACTGACACACACGCTCACTACAGACAAACTCACTGACACACACGCTCACTACAGACAAGCCCACGATCACACCCATGCTCCTTACAGACAAGAGCTCACTAACACACACACATATGATCCCTACAGACAAGCTCACTGACACACATACAAGCTCACTCACTAGCAGCCACACACACACACAGAGGCTCCCTCACTAGCAGGTGCGCACACACACAAAGATGCAGACAGTCACTGACACCGAGACAAACATCCACACATACAGACAGGCAGACAGCCACACACACACAGGCAGACAGTCACACACACACACACACACACAGGCAAACAGCCACACACACAGGCAGACAGCACACACACAGACAGTCACACACACACACACACAGTCACACACAGACAGTAACATACACAGGCAGACAGTCACACACACACACACAGGCAGACAGCCACACACACAGGCACACAGTCACACACACAGTCACACACACACAGTCACACACACACAGTCACACACACAGACAGACAGACACACACAGACAGTCACACACACACACACACACAGTCACACACAGACAGTAACATACACAGGCAGACAGACACACACACAGTCACACACACACAGGCAGTCACACACAAAGGCAGTCACACGCACACACAGACAGTCACACACAAACACACACTAACAGTCACACACACACACAGTCACACACTCACAGACAGTCACAGTCACACACAGTCACACACACACACAGACAGTCACACACAGATCGAGGGATCATGTGGCCGCGGGGTCCTGATCTGCCGAGGGGAGACTGCCCAGGCCGGGAGGAGCGATGATCACCATAATACTTCCGTATGTACCTTTGCCAGGTACAGTTGCAAGAAAAAGTATGTGAACCCTTTGGAATGATATGGATTTCTGCACAAATTGGTCATAAAATGTGATCTGATCATCATCTAAGTCACAACAATAGACAATCACAGTCTGCTTAAACTAATAACACACAAAGAATGAAATGTTGCCATGTTTTTATTGAACACACCATGTAAACATTCACAGTGCAGGTGGAAAAAGTACATACACACAGAGACATACAGGCATGCAGACACATACATACAGGCATACAAAGACATACACGCATAAAGAGACATGCATGCATACAGAGACATACCGCCATACAGAAACATACATACAAAGACATACAGGCATACATACACATACATATGTACATACAGAGACATACAGGCATACAGAAACATACAACCATACATACATACATAGGCAAACCGTCATATAGACACATACATGCATACATACATACATACATACATACAGAAAGATGCATACAAAGACTTAGGCATACAGAGACACACAGACACATACATACATACATACATACGAAAATACAGAGACATAAAGGCATACAGTTACACAAATGCATACAGAGACATATATACAAACATTTAGAGACAAACATACATTTAGTTACATACATGCATGCATACAGATACATACATACATGGATACAGAGACACATACATACAGAGACATACATACATGCATACATACAGAATCATACAGAGACATACATACATGCATACATACATACAGAGACATGCATACATACAGAGACATAATTACATACTTACAACTGTTAAATCTTGTCCCCTGGGTGCATGCTGTCTGGCTCTGTGGAGTCCCGGCCAGCAGCCCAGCCCCATCACTGGGCGCCAGCCGCGATGTGTGGTACACAGGGAGCTGGGATATGATGCACAGTAAGCAGCCCTGCCGTTCAGCGTCCCCAAGCTCTGCATGGAGACACTGAATTTTCCTCATAGAGATGCATTGATTACCGCCCCCTTGCCAATATTAGCCATTTTGCTGATGTCACAGGGCGGAGCCAGCACCGGCAGACCCGCACGGTGATGGAAATAAGGTGAGTTTTATAGGGGGGCTAAACCACCTAAATGTGGGTGAAACACTATAGTGTCAGGAATACATGTTTGTGTTCCTGACCCTACAGTGATCCTTTAAATTATCAGTCATTCATATATGCCTTAAATATTTTAGTTCCTGGAGAAGGATCTGATCACAGTAAAAGCTGCAGAAAATGGTTATCGATCTATCCTTCATCTATATATCCATTGCCCATTCCATCTCTCTGCCTAATTGTATGCCCCACTTATGCAGATGCCTTTTGTTCAATGTATTTTCAAAGCTTAATAGAGAATCTAAAGTTTACATTTTAAATAAGAAATAAAATGGAATTTAAATACATATTACATTTAACAAAATAAATCTTTGCAATGTGAAATATATAGCAATGATTACTTGTTTGTAAATGCATTTGCATTTCTTTTTTTGAAGTCTATAAAAGCGTTTTGATCCGTCACTTGTCACCCAGAGACCATACAGCAGCAGAGACCTGTAGGTAATGATATGCAAATGAGCAATACATACTAGGTAAGAGAAATGAAGTACAAGAAAAAGTTCAAATTTGAAAACACTTGCTTCCCATGGGAACCCATCACAGACAGATCTGTGCTTATGTTCATATGCTGAGTTGTAAAAGGTACTCAGACTCATTGCTTGTGACTACTTGGCATGTTGTAATGAACTTGAATGAAGTCTGCTTCCAAATGTAAAAAAAATAAAAAAAAAATAATTTCAATTCACACAAAAGTGTTCTTATATTTATTGGATATTTTTGAAATAATGCAGTTATTAATGGTCTGTATCACAAACACAAATGGATACACCTGTAACCCAGAATAGGAAAAACCTAACACAGTGTAATATAGTTGAAAATATACATACAAGCACTGAATTAGAATGCACTCATGATGCGAATGTAAAGCAAATAAGGGTGGCCCCCTGATGTATGGGGTTGCTGATGTGCCCCAAACTCTTCACTCCACCTCTAGTAGACACATCTTAGCTCATCTTAACTCCAAACAAGGACTCCAACAAGAATAGAATATGAAAAACAGCTTTATTAAAAATAAAATCTGTAAACAAATGTCCCAATGGGGATTCCTTTTATTTTCATTCCTTTTATTTCTATATTTTCATTGTTTTATTATGAAAGCTATTTTATTTTTGTGGTCCCTGGGCAGCACTCAGTAGACCCTTGGTAAGAATTAAAGCCATTCTAAAATTGTTTGACTACTTATAATAGGGGGTTGCCAGGGTTTTTCTGGCACAATACAAACTACAGCATGCTGTGTTGTTATGGTGTTTGGACTGTAAATACCAACAAGAAATGTCATTTGAGAGAAGAAACCATTCTATTCCACACACATGTAAAAAATATACTGCAAAGAAAATGGAAAACTCCAGTACCAACATCAAAACTACAAAACATGTTTTGTTGAGCAAATATATAGAATAAATGTAAAGTACTTTGAAATCTGCATATAACATATGTTGGTGATATTTTAAATATGTTCAGTAGTGTGTTTTTTTTTTTAATTAAAGAACCACTATAGTGCCAGGAAAACATACTCATTTTCATGCCATTATAGTGCCCACCCTCAGGGTCCCACTCCCGTGGTGCTGAAGGGGTACCATTGCTGGGCTCATCGCTGGGCTCCCTCGGCGCTGGGACTCACCTCCCTCTTCTGACGTCCCTGGCTGAATGCGCATGTGCGGAAAGAGCCGCGCGCGCAGTAAGTTCATAGGAAAGCATTCTCACTGCTTTCCTATGGACGCTGGCGTCCTCTCACTGTGAAAATCTAGCTTTGGTATGCCTTCTATGGTTCCAAATTAATGCCATATTGGTAACGTATATTTCCTATAGGATTTATGGGGAGTTAGCTGTTGTTAGTGTCTTTGCATCATTTCACCAATATGGGTATGCATTATACCCGGCACTTGCCTTTTTTGAATTCCAGGCAAGAGGCTGGTGATTACTTCTGATGTTAGAAGCAGCCATTACAGTAGTGACAGGGTTGGAAACCAGTATTAAACCAATTGCTGTTTAGTAATTAGCAGCTCCCATACATTTTGGCAACTTAATGTTGCTATTGGTGAAATGTTGCAGTCGATATACTCCCTAACAGTAATGATATGCATTTCAGAGAATGGCGGTTGATCTCTAAAAGGAGCTGCAAAACAAGACTGCAACCCTAGTTTAAATAGAGACACTTTCCTGTCTTTGGATAAAACCATATAAAACCTCTGCATCTAAAAGAGATTCATTTATTTAATTGTGTTAAATGAAATTAGACATATGGAAAAGGGAGATAAGACACCTGTGGGGGTGGGGTGGGGAGAGACACATGGACAGCCTGGGACAGGCAAAGGCAACATTATGGGGGATGCAGTCCACGACATCTGGAGTGCTGAAGGTTGCCTATCCCTGGCCTGAGGGAATGAAACACATGGAGGGAATATGGCTAAAGAGACACATGGAGGGCTGGGGGAATGAGACACATGAAGGAGATTATGGGGTGAGATACATAGAGCAGGGAAATAAGAAACATGGAGGGGCTAGGGGAGAGATGAGACAGTTGGAGGTGCTGGGTGGGATGATACACAAGGAGGAGCTGGGGGTGAGATACATGGAGGGACTGAGGGTTGACACACACAGGGAAGAAAAATAAGACACATGGAGGAGCTAGGGGAGGAATGAGAAACATGGAGGGGGGGAAATTAGACACATGGTGTTACAGAGATCTCCTCTGTTGGACACATACAGATACTTTGTTTTAATCCCTTTCGTCACTTTGTTTTCCCCATGAACTTCACTTGCCAGCCGTTTGTATATACGAACGATCGACCACCCCGCCAATTAACCTCTTTGACCTCGGATCTACCGAATGAATACACGAACCATCGACCATCTCCATGCAGACGCGTGCCAACAATTAACTGCCGTGAGGTTGTGGTCTGAGGTTAACCTCCACTTAATTGCTTGCTGTCAGGGTGGCCCCGGTTCGCATACTATGGCCTGAACAGACAACCGACCAACGCACAAACTATCTACTGAACAACGGCCACCTAGACCCTGTCATTTTTTCCTGCCAATTATCTTGTGGTTCTTGCAGTTAACCACAAGTTAAGTACCTGAGCCATGGTGGTCGCCGTTTGTATGCTGAACACGAGGCGGCGGCCATCTTTGTTTCATCGCAAGCTCAGCGCGACATGGAGACAAACTCCCTGGAACTCTAAACGGCGACTGAACAGCACGAATCCCACTTAAGGGCCGGGCGTTCCACCCAAAAAGCCAGAGACTGCCAAACAGACTTTTAAAACAGAATTCCAGCACACCGTTCGTGAGATCTGAGCGCAATTCGTGTAGTTTATGCACACAGATCTGAGCTATCTGGTGAATGGTCGCATGAATGTTTTTTGTATTAAAATACCAAAGTTATGTATTTTTATGCTGTTTTACTGTATGTATAAAAATTTGGTATTTTCATGCGCTTGGAGATAATTAGGTTATTGTAAATGTTAGGCCAATTATCTCCAAGCTAGGCGGGAACATTTTCAAATAATACACTATGTTTTCATTGATTGGAATATGTCATTGTCCTGTATTCCATCAGGTCCAGAGGGGGCTGTCCTTTGGCCTGAAAGTTGCATAAATTGCAGTGCATGAGTGCCAGTAAAGCAGTTCGTGTTACCCTCAAATCGCAGCCTCGACTCGTTTTGTAGGGGAAAGGGTATCCTAGCTGTGCTATAGCTAGTGGGATGATTCTACACTTGCAGGATTTTGCCGATTGAAGCAGAGTTCGTCTCTCTGGATTCGGGAACCAGGATATCCAAAGCGGTCAAATACCCAGCAAGCCCAGGGCAACCTAACACATGAAGTGGCTAGGCAGTAATGAGACAGAAGGAAGGGCTGGACGGGATGACACACATGGAGGGTCTGGGGAGAATGAGATACATGGGGGGGCTGGGGAGGAATGAGACACATGGAGAGGCTAGGAATGAGAAACATGAAGGGATTGTGGTGGAATGAGACACATAGAGTAGCTGGGGGGAGGAGATACCAAAGGGGATAGGGAAGACAAAGATGGGCTGGGGGAAAGAGACAGAAGGAGGAGATGAAGGGAGAGGACACATAGAGGCTATGAGGGAGAAAGATACATGCAGAAGGGGAGGGGAGACACACAAAGGGTCTTAGAGGGGAGAAAGAGACACAGAGGGGCGGCGGAGAGAAAAAGATATGCAGAGGAACTGTAGGGGAGAAAAAGACATGGAGAGGGGATGGAGGTGAAAGAGACACTCACAGGGGCTGGGAGGAGAAATATACACACAGATGGGTGGGGGGGGAGACACACAGAGGGGATGATGAAGGGAAAAAAGAGAAACACAAAGTGGCTAGGGGCAGAAACACACAGAGGAGCTGGGGAAGGGGAGAAAGAGACAATTGGATTAGGGCTAAGAGGCACACAAAAGGGACTTAGGAGAAAGAGACTTAAAGAGAGGCTGGAGAAGGGTAAAAATAGAAAGAGGCTGGGAGGAGGGGGGTTATAAGAGACACACAAAAGGGGTGTAAGACACACAAAAGGAAAATATGGGGGATATGATACTTTAAAGTAGGGAAAACAATCAAAAGAGGGATAAGAAACTAAAATTGGGAAAGAAATTCAAAAAGGGGTGTAGAGAAACACAGGTGAAGATGCATTTTTGATGTAGGGAGGGGGAGGGGTCACATGCTTCCCCTGTAACTCAGTTCTTTAGCTCAGGAGTCTATGCCAAAGAGTTGATTGGTAGGTGAGAGAAAAACCTCTTAATAAATAGTTTTTTTTAATCAATATATAAATTTTGATAGTAATCCTCCTAACACACTTTACAGATAGAAGTTGATAAGTCGATTGATGTA